GAACGCTGGCTGAGACATTCCAAAATCGAGCGTTGGCCTGGACTCGAGGCTATTTCGGGACAAAAGCTTCCGTTATTCGCGACAAGTTGTGCGACAGACGAGACAATACGTCGAAAATAGTGGCTGCGACCGTTGGGACAAGTTCCATGAAGAGGGTGACTTTCGGTGCGACTATCAAGGACGGAGATCCCAAAATAGGAGAAGCGGAGCCCGAGGTTTATTTCCTAAACGTGAGAAGAGCTCCCAAGCCGCGAAGAAGCCCTGGGCTGCGCGAAGTGAGCGGCGATGAGGTCTTCGACGACAGTGGAGGTGTCGTGCCTGATGGCAAGCGTGTCATCTGCAGCGTTGGTGGTGTACAAGCGCTGTCGGACGGCTTTATCGATTGCGACCCGTCCGAAATGCTGGCTGATACAGGCGCGGTCGCCAGTCTTGTCGACAAACGCGTGCTGAAGCGTCTCGGTCCAACCTCCGAACCTCTAAGACCTTATACAGGGAGCTTGGATAGCGTCTCGGGACACAAGATTCGCGTTAGTGGGGTTATCGACTTGCCCGTCACGCTTGGAACGCAGGAGAAAACGCTTCCTTTCGTCGTGACCGATCACTTGTTTGTAATCGCAATTCTCGGAACGGACTCTCTGAGGTCGTTCCGAGCGGGGATTGACCTCGAGGAGCAGTCGATGACACTGAAGGAGACGGGAGACGTGATCCCGTTGGGTGCGACAAGAGTAGACGAAAACGACACGGCTACAATATCGCCGACGGTGCGTTTGGAACCCGGACGTCAGGCCTTAGTGAGATCGAGCGTACGCGGAACGATGAAGGACCACTCCGTTGTGTTGGTCGAGAGCGTTCCCGGAACGGACGAGTCTTTAAGAGTCGCGAGGACGTTGTGTACCGTGACGGATGGAACGGTGTTGGTCGAGGTGTGTGATGCCTCCGCGGAAGAGGTTGAGATCAAGTCGGGCGCGCACGTAGCTGCTGTGACTATCGTTCCCAAGTCTGCGTTCATTACCAGGACTTCTAAGCCAGGCGGAACAACGAGGAGCATAAGCGCAGTGCTGAGTACGGTGCAATAGAACGTGATAGCCGAAGTTGGAACGATCGAGGCTGAGATGAGTGCCTCCATGGACGACAGCATGGAAGACGACTTCGAAGTGGACTTCGAAGACTCGTCACTCGAAGCATAACAGAGGGGCCTCTTCGCGAAGATGTTGAAGGACCCGAGAGACTTATTCGTCGAAAATTCTAAGAAGCCAGGAACGACGGACCTGCTACGATTCAGAATTGACACCGGAGATCACGAGCCTATTAAATTGCCTCCGTACAGAGTGTCGAAAGCCGAAGGGGACGTCATGGAAGCCGAAATTCAAGAGTACCTGGATCTCGGACTCATCAGACCTTCCACAAGCCCGTGGGTCAGTCCTGTGTTGATGATACGGAAGCCTGATGGTGGCGTTAGATTCTGCATCAATTATCGGAAACTAATTGCAGTAGCCGTGAAGGCCAGCTACCCAATGCCTTTGATCGACGACATTTTAAACGTTCTGGGGAACGCGAAGCTTTTCTCCACGATGGACATCGCTTCTGGATATTGGAACGTTCCAATGGATCTCGACAGCGTGTAGAAGACGGCTTTCACGAGCAAATTCGGCCTCTACGAGTGGTTGGTCATGCCGTTAGGCTTGTGTAACGCTGTGCCTGCCTTTGAACGTTCAATGGAGAACGTTCTCGTTGATCTCAAGTGGAGGACGTGCCTCGTCTACTTAGACGACTGTGTTGGCTTCCGTGACGACTTCCCGACACATTTGATTCGAGTACGACAGGTTCTGGAACGTTTCCGAGCTGCAGGGTTCAAGTTGAAAATTAAGAAGTTCCATTGGTAACGTGACTAAGTGGTGTTCCTAGGGCATATCGTGAATCCGACTGGAGCACTACTGAGCCCTGAGAAGGCGAAAGCGGTGATGAACATCGAGAGGCCGCATGCCTTGCACATGGTTAGAGCATTCCTGGGTCTGACAAGCTATTGTTGACGCTACATACCGGGATTCGCTGCGATCTCTGCGCCGTTGGAATGTTTGAAGCAGATGGACGTCGATTTGCGATGGAAAGACGACTGTGAGGGCGCGTTCCGACAACTACAACGAGCATTAGTGAAACCACACGATACGGGTATATCCAGAATTCAAGAAGAGTTTTAAGCTTATTCTAGATTCGTCACACTTAGCGGTGGGAACATGTCTAATGCAAGAGGTCGACAAGAGAGACAGGGCGATCGCGTAGGCGAGTAAGATGCTTGTTGGATCACAACAGAACTGGGTTAACAAGACTAGTGGAACGACAGCAATTGAGTGCAGGGGAATCGTATGGTCGACACGCAAGTTCCGGTGTTATCTGAGTCACGTGTAATACGATCTGTACACAGACCATCAAGCTCTCACGTTGATCATCGGCGAGACAACAAGAACGTCGAACGCCAAGTTGGCACGATGGGTCATGGAGCTGTCGCTGCTACGGTTTAAGATATACCACAAGTCAGGAACGTCGATGGGACACGCTGATGGTTTGTCAAGACTGTATCACCGACCGGACGCTGGTATTGTTAGCGCCATCCGGATGGCGGACCTTCTCAACGCCAGTGAGGAAGAGACTCCTGACTTGCAAGTGCCGATTTCAGACGGTGTGCAGACTCAATCTGGAACGCAAGCCTTAAACGGAACGCTGGGTAGGACGCCAACGACGTTCCAATCCCAGTCGGGGAGCCTGCCGAGACTACGGATCCTAACGGAGAGACTGAGAGAAGTAGCCAACAGACAGAGGATGCGTCCGTTGCTGTCGAGCCTCTCACGCAAGCGGAGCAGGAAGAACACTCACAAGGGAGGGCTTTACAGGCGAACTCATCACCGATTGACGTGTTTGGGTTGAACTACGACAAGTTCGCGGCTGAACAAGAACGTGTGCCCTGGATGCGAGTACTGAAGACGTTCCTGAAAGATGGAGCCTTGGCTCTTGATCCACAACTGAGAGTGAGTGTGCTGAAGATGTCTCCGCACTACTTTATTCGAAAAGGGGTTCTAGTACGTCTCGTACATCTAGGAGCACGGGCCGGTCCAGCCAGAACAGTCTGCGTTCCAACTGTCCCGTTACCGTTTATAGAGACAGTCCTGCACTATTGTCACGCCGACATCTTCTCTGCACGCTTGGGGAGAACAAAGACAACGGACAATGTGAGACGCCACGCATATTGGCATGGGTGGAGGAAGGACGTGATTTAGTACGTGCGTAAATGCTCTATCTGCAGTGGGGGAAAGGGACATAGACCCTGGAGAGCTGGACTGATGCAACGGATGCCAGTTCAGGACCTGTCGGGTCCGTTCTCGCTACTTGTAGTCAACGCAATTGGACTATTGGTCGTCACTCCTCGTGGAAACAAGTACATCCTAGTGTTTGTGGACTAATTCACAAGATGGGTCGAGGCATTTGCTGTCGCTTCGTTGGACACTATTTCGCTTGTGAACGCCATGATAGAGGGCGTTATCTGTCGACATGGAGTACCGGAACGTCTACTAAGTGACCGTGGGTCAAACGTCACGTCTAATCTGGCTCAGTCACTGTATCAGACGTTGAGGATGAAGCAGTTGTTTGGAGCGGCGTACCACCCGCAGACACAAGGTCTGGTGGAGCGTTTCAACGGAACGTTGATGGGTATGCTACTTATGTTTGTGAACGAGACGCAGACGGATTGGGACGTGTTCCTGCCAAGGGTCCTATTTGGGTACCGAACGGCGTATCACGAAGGCCTCGGTGACACCCCGTTCTTTAGTCTGTACGGCCGTGATCCTGTGCTACCTATCGACTTGGCGTTCCTGAACACTGGGAAGGACTGGAAGCGTAACGAAGTTGCGACGTACCGAACACATTGGATCGCTCGTTGTGTGACTCTCGTCGTCTTGTGGAACGACAGCTACTCAAGGCTCAGGATCGACACGAGCAGAGGTTGGACAGCCAAGTGAAGGTGACATACGCAGAAGGAGACGCGGTCTGGGGGTACCGGTACTTTAGAGCCCGAGTGGGGGAACGCAGAACGAAGAAGGTGGCGTTCTCCTGGCACGGTCCCTACCGTGTCGTCAGCCAAGTCGGGGAGAACGCCTACAGGATCGCGATTCCGTCGCACCCGAACAAGGTCGTCACAATGAACGTTAACCGTCTGAAGCGCTTTCAAGGACGCTGGAGCCGACCCTACGCAGACGAAAAGCCTGATAGACTCGAAGAAGAAGAGGATGAGGACGGTACGGACGTCGAGGACTTGTCGTCGACGAGCTTTGTGGAACATCTATCTATTGGCAAAGAAGAAACTGCGTTCTCGGGAGTGTCGTCGTCGATAGTGGACGTGACCGCGAAGAGAGTCAAAAAGCGTGAGCTGCAGTATCTCGTACTCACCGCCACGCATGAGACGTTCTGGTTGTCTCGAGCGGCGTTGGCACCGGAGTTTGGAACGATGATACGTACCTTTGAGGACGCAGATCGGAAGAAGAGATCTGCCGGAGTTGCGTCGGAACGTCAGATTGGTCGAAGCCAATGGTGATGTCGACGATGCTGAGGTGTTGTTCTAGCTGGCAGCGGGAGCCGGTTAGAATGCGTGCAGTTGTGGGACTGCACAAGCGTGTTTGGGGCTCGCTGAGGCTCAGAACACTGAGTGACGTGTACATATTTTCTATTTCGGAACGACCACGAGCGGCTCTTTGTTTTTTACGAAGTTGCATATTTTGGGAACGTCACGAGCATACGAAGACTGAGTGTGTCGGGGTAGAACGCAAAGAAGTTGTGAAGCATCCGTTTGGAACGTGAGGAAATTTGTGAAGTATCAGTCTGAAACGTTAGGAAGTTTGTGAGGCATTAGTCTGGAGCGTGTGGAAGTTTATGAAGCGTTAATTTGGTCGTATAGAGCGTCGTGAGGAAAGAGAGCGAGCTAGTGTGGAGCGACTGCGAGGCATGAAGGCCGAATGAACGTCGTCTGGAGCAAGGAACGTGAATCTAGGTGCAAGTGGAACGTCACGTGGGAACCTTCCGGATTTGACTGCGGAAGACACCGTGCGACAGGCCCCGGAAGATGTGGCTTGGCGAGGGCACCGAGTGTCAGTCGGGGAGAATTGTCACGGTGTACAGTTAGATGGTGGATTAACGATGCTGGTTGACCGCCTGCAGAAGGTCTACTCGCTCCAGACTCTCCGGACCACGTCCAAGCAAGCGGGATATGCGGCGAAGTCAGTGACGTTCCAAGTGTGAGGTCGTGAAGCAGCTGGTCGTGGCGGGAATTGGAGCTGGACCGCCACACACGAGGGATCTGCTGAAAGGTAAGGAGCTCTAAAACCGCTTAGCTAGTTGAAATGGGGAAGTCAGTCGTGGATTTCCTTCTAACAAACAACACAAGAATATATCAACTTTACGTTACTATCCCGGTAGTGTCACTAATACTACTACCTCCTACGTCGGCCCAAGATACTCACGACCCCTATTAGAGGAAGACCGCGATAACTTACGGGGCCTTCAATCACGTCTCCAACCGTAAACACCCACTCTCGGTACCTGAAAACCAAATCAAGTGCGAAGCTGCAGCCATCGTCATGCACGTGTAAGTCTTCTTCACACCCATGCGTCTTCTTCCATGACATGGGTGTAGCTACGGAGAAGGAAACACTGCAAAAGTCTTTCGAGAGCTACTAAGGAGATCTCACTGACAAATCCCCTTGCTGCTCATCGATCCAATACGCGATGCTGGATACCGTCAGCTATCCATGGACTGATATCTCACTACAACAGAAAGTGTGCAGCTTCGCTTTGTCGGAGCAGCACGGGCAACGTATCGTCCAAGACGATCGCTGACACCATTATCGTCACGCATTCGATGGATGGACTTATGGTGGCTGGGGCATTGGCCAACGATCGATGTAAGCTCGCTCCTAGCACATCGTGGGTTGCTCTGAGTGGTAGGCATTGGCTCCGACTATCTATAAGATACTTGTAGCGGAAGCGCAGGATTCCTCCGGTTGGTGCGTTGCTCATCGGGCAGTGTCCAGCCAATAGCGTCGTCAAGGCCATGACGTACGAAAGTTATCCACGCACCACATCTGTGCATACATTTCGGCCCAGATCGCGTTCAGGAAACATGTCGGCGCCGTAATGTGCAGCGATAACTATGCGGGTCTGTTCTCGAGATGGCAGCCCGTTTATCAGCTAACAGGCTCAATGATTTCACACAAGTCCAAACAAACGACGGTATCGTCGAGTTCAAGAGTTGTGCTGGCGGTGGGTCTGTCCGACTTCAGCAAGAGCTACGTCGATCCATTCTATTTGATGGGCCTCAACCACGTGGGTACACTTTCCACAATGGCGATGGGTTTTTCGCATCTTCTCGAAAACATTTGAAATGGTTTGAATGCCTGTTGTAGTTCTGCGTATTCATAATATGAATATAATACTAGTACCTCGAAGTATGATACCAGGTAGATTTACTAGACGCGTATGTATTTATTAATAAGACTATTCTATCGAGTTGAGGTAGGTCCGATGATACTTAATTCCCAGTACCATTCACTGACTTTTGAGAAATCTGTGTCATAATTACTCCTGACTCGGTAGTCCTAAATATTATAGCGGCAGAGCTGAAATCATCTCTCACACCACTAACTGTATCTTCGAGTAGTTTCTCTACATGTATGAGAAAACCCCCGTTGCTGTTGTATTACCATAGCTCGACCCCTATTGCAACAGCAAAGTTTTGATGTGCCCACGCTCCAGTTTAACACCGAGCAGCAACAAAGTATCCAAGTCAGCAATTGTCGCCATTCGAAATATGTGCAAATTTGGCTCAGATTTTGCATATTACGCAAAATTTGATCCAAATCTGTTTTTAAAACACAAATAACACCATCAATAATTTTTAAAAAGTAGATGATCACCAGCACCAAGGGCTGCTAGATATATTTATAAAAAAAGCGCTAACGCTACTCTTGATATAATACGGTCGTCGCTGTAGTCGTAAGTCCAAGTTTCCTTCCTTGGTACCGACACACTACCGGTATTATGGTTTGATGATTCAGTGTTTAGTATTAATTGCAAATACAACGTCAGTAAAAATAAAATCCTAGCTCCGAATTCCGTTGCTTTTATTCGACCAAAATGGATTTCCTTTCAGTTAATTCTGAGTATACCTCGATGGCTTCCGAGTAATTGACCATGTAATAAAATATAATCTCTTGGCGAAGAAAATGTATCCTAAGCTTGCAGAACGGAAAAGGTTCATCGTACGAAGATTTAAGAACCGTAACCACGGAAGCCCAAGGTTGTCGGACGTGAGTCGTTTGTCTTACTTTATCAAGCATTTTGTTTCATGGAGGCTCGTTTTGAGCGAGATAAAGAGCTTATTTAGATCTTATTTTCGAGCTTCATTTAAACAACATAAAGTATTTTTATTTTCTCGGTTAATCAGGAGCTATTTCCGGCCGGCCGTTGGCTGTCCGACACGGTTGTTCAGTCCTCAGGCAGCGAGCCCGAAATTCCGGGAAGTGAAAAAAAAAACATCCTTAAGTACGACAGTCAATAAACATTTTGTTCGTAAACATGTTTGCGAACGAAACGAGCTACATGTTTCTGTACGTGCATTAATAACTGGATGAATCCGTAACTCGCTCAAAACCATGATTACGACCTGGTATTCATATATTGCACGCGGGGTCAGTATAAATTAAAAAAATAAGGGAGTGAGTGCTGCACCCACCTCGTGCACATGGGACAGTGCTGGAGGGCTTGAGATCCGCATCCGGCTTGCGGGTATACCTCGTGTAGCGTATACTTTCCCCCCCCCACTCATTTTTGCAGCGGGGGCAAATCAGCAGCAGCCAGGAAGCCATGGCGCCCGACCTGCGTGTCAAAGCGGCGGTGCGACCGCTGCGCCACGGAGGAGGGGCGAGTGATAGTGAAGAGGGGGTCGACAGCGACGATGAGTGGTTCGACTCGTCAGCGGAGTCGTCGGGTACCGGCAGCTCCACGTCCAAGCAGCGTCGATCGGATGTTTCCGACAGTCTCCAGACAATCCAGAGCGGTGAGCAGCCAGTGGTGATAGCTCCGCCACTCGAGAAGAAAGAGTTTAATTCCTGGGGCGCCTTAGACGCGTATCTAAAAGTCTATTTAGCCGAGACATACCAGGTGACCGTTTGGAGCACTGCATATGGTAGCAGGAGCCGTTATCGCATTATCTAACTGATTTGTGCGTACAATTGCTGCGTGCAGAGCTTCCGCGTTCGCACTAATAACAAGGTCGTGACGAGAAATAAGAAGATTCGAGACTCCGGGTCTACGAAGCCGCTTGTGCCCGAGGGGTGGACTCATTATTCGAAGCCTTTCGTCTGCACCCACGCAGGGAAGTACAAGCCGCGTGGACAAGGCAAGAGAAAGCGGCAAGAGTCGAGAGCTCTCGAGTGTGACGCGCAGGTGTGTGACGCTCAGTCGGGATCAGTCGGGCTCAGTTGGGCTCAGTTGGGCTCAGTTGTGCTCAGTTGGGCTCGGATGAACTGAAATGGATTTGAATGGTGCTGTTGGTTGGCCATGCATGTGCTCACGTACAATTGTATCGCTACGTAGATCAATGCCTGCGTACAAGTGACCGACTCGGCTGCAGCAGTTCCCACTTTTTTTGTGCTGCGAATTACTGTTGCCCGTTTGGAGCATAACCATCCGCTCTCCAGACATACTTTCGACCATTATCCACACAACCGGACAGATTGAGTCTGAGCTGGCCGGGACTGTTAGCGAGCTTGTCAAAGCCGGAGCCAAGAAGAAACGCATCCTGCAGTTCATCCACGAGAATTCTAACTGCTACCCAACGATCCAGGACGTACACAATCTGGTGCGCAAGCTGAAGAAACAGACCCATACAGCTCAGACATCTGCAAAACGATTGAAGCAATGGATGACTGAGTTCACGCAAGAGCTAGGGAATGTTGGAGGCATTTTTGTCGACTCAATCCTGAACAATATTGCTGTTATTGTGTAGCCGTCGTTTGTTTAACTTTCTATGCTGATGTTAGACTGTAGCTACATGTATGACACTGCAGACAAAGCATATGCGGGAGCTCTTCGACCATTTCCCAGAGGTCGTGATGATCGACGCCACGCACGGTACAAACTTGTCAAAGTACAAGGTTTTCTCGATTATGGCACACGACGCATTTGGGAAGGGCCAGTTCGTACAGCATGCTGTTCTCCAGAGCGAGCGTAACCCAACGCTTCTCTCGCCGAAATCTTTGTCGATCAGTATGTATTTGATGTGCGTCCACGCCGGATTGTAGCGCTTGAACTGCTCCAGGGCCGTCAGATCGGCGTGTTGAAGAAAACGTTTCTGGACGCGGCGTTGCTGTTGTGCCAGTTTCACGTGTTGAAATATCTGCGAGAGCAGATAGCATCAAAAGACTATGGGTTCAATGCTTGGCAGAAGCAGCAACTGAACGGATTGATCAACTTGCTGGTTTAGGCAAAAACGGAGCGACAATACTTGCGCTTGCGCGAGTATATGCGCCATATTATCGATGCAGGGACTGAAAGAGTACCATCTGAGAAAGCTAGGTCTGGGGAAGTTGTGTTGGGCACTGGTCAGACGGAGATGGGCACGGATGGTGTCCAGTTGGGCATCAGTCGGACTGAGTTGGGCGCGGATGGCGAAGCGCGTGAAGTGTGCAAGCACCCTTTTGAAGCGTATTTCGTGAAAAACTGGGATAACTGTCGTCAAATGTGGTGCGCGTTTGAAAGGCAGAATGCTTGCACCCTCGGCAACAATACAAATAACCGCCTTGAAGCTTCGTGGAAGCAGCTGAAGGAGCTTGTGGACTACTTTATGCAAGTGGACGAGTGCATTGTGTCGATAATGGTTTATCAAGCTCAGGCGGAGAGAAAATTTAAGGACGCGGTCTACAAACTATCTGTCGTGCATCATCCGAAGTACCATCACGAGATGAATTTTCTCTCGAAGCTGGTAAGCGAGCACGCGTGCGAGCTTGTGTACGAGCAGTACAACTTCGCGATCACCACGGCGAAGTATAATTTTCACGAGGCAGTCCCCGGAGTATACTTTATCCAGTGCGATGCGGACGATGAAGAGGCATTGGATGAACCGCATAGCGAGTACTCCGTCACGAAAACCGATTGGTCCTGCTCGTGTTTGTTCATGGCTTCACGTTTGCTGCCGTGTCGCCACGTGCTCTTCATTCGGAAGGCACTCAACTTCGAGAACGTGATTCCTACCCAGCTTCTGGATTCTCGTTGGTTACTGTCGTCGCTTCGGGTGGAATAGAGTTGCCCCAACTGTCAGAAGAATCGTTTCGTGTGTCCAGAGTGTTGAAGGAGGCCAATATGTGTTGGGATTCCAACCGGAAGTTCCGCGAAGCAAATTTTGTGGCAACTGCAATTAGTGAGCACTTAAGTGGATTGGGGATGGTGGAGTACCGAGCAGCGATGAAGGCTTTGCGAGATGTTGCCACCCTTTTCAAGCATGGCGAGTACAGTACCATCCCCAAGGTAGCTGGTGGTCTTGAACTCGAAGTCGGCTTGGGTGATGCAGAAATGGACACGACTGGTGGCGCGACTGGTGGCGCGACTGGTGGCGTCAGTCACCAGACTAGAGACAGCGAAGTAGTGACAGAGATGATGGGAGTGGTGCAAGTTATAACGTCTAGACAAGAGGATACTACCAGCCAAAGTGTAGCATCTGTTTCTTACGTGGAGAGCACTCAAGTATGCCCAGACCAGTCCGGCTCAGTTGGGATCGAGACGGGCACAGGTGGAGGTGAGGTGGTTTCATTTGGGAACGAGACGGGCGCAACGGGTGGTGAGTTGGTCTCAGATGAGAACGAGACGGGCACACATGGTGACGAGTTGGTTTCAGTTGGGAACGAGACGAGCGGAGCTGGTGGTGGGTTGGAGGTGGAGACATCTCACGAAAATGACGACCACAGCGCTATGCTTGCTTCAGCAAAGTTAACCGATGATTTTCAGATCGTGAGTCCCCCAAAATCCAAGAGACGTCCGAAACAAAAGCCACGGGCTGTTACAGCAAAGCGGAATCAAGCGATAGTATGTAGAGAAGACTTCGTTTAGGCTTGACCCTCCTACGCGATCGGCGTGGGTTCAAACCGCCACGCTGTGCTTCTTGCTAAGAGCAGCAAAGCCGTGACCTTTCACGCCTATCCGATAGTCTGCTAGAACAGCGAGTTTCTCGTGGATACTATAGCTACGTCGCTCAGCACATATGGCTGTGTAAATTATAAAATAAGAGAATTAAAGCCAAGTAACAGCAGCACCGACAAGTTTGTTCAGAAGGGTGGTTGGTTGGGAGCTCTCAAGAATATTTATTGGCTGGTACAGCCTTGTGTTTTACACATGTGTTCTAATTAGGTAGGTGGTCAAATTGAGGTTTAAGCTAGATGTCGAGCGAATCCCGTATTTATTTAGAACACATATGCCTTATATGCGGGGTAAGACGGTAGGCCTCGCCTATGGTAATACCTATGACGGTGTACAGAATGGCAGCAAAATTAAGAGTGTCCAGTCTAAAAATAACTCTCTGGATTTTGTCCAGGGTTTTAGGAGAGTCA